TATATATTTTATATATAAAAAAGCAAAAAAACAAACACCTGTCCTGATTTTTTTTTATTTATTTGTTAAAACATAAAAAAAAAAAGTTTTAGACAAAGAGGCCACTTCTGGAAAATAATACTTTTAGTTGAATCAGGAGAAGACTAGTTAAAATCACATAGGTTTTGCGTTTTAAAAAAAGGAAAGCACTAGGATCAGTTATTGGCACTGAGTTACTATTTACAATGAACAGAGGTTTTGCAGTTTACATAACATCCATACAGTGCAGTTTTGGAGTCTTTGATTAAGAAAAAACAAGTGTTTTTCTCCTTTTCATCCAGGACATTCAGATTATTAGGACAAGTGGTCGTAGGCAAGGGCTGCGGAAGTTCCCAACTTCAGCCCCTCCTGTGCACGGCGGTGCTGGAAGATGCTGCACTCTGGAGAAGCTGATCACGGAGTTGGAAGCTTAAGGGCAGGTGGTGGGGCAGGGCTGAGAAACACCTGGTAAGTCATGACAGTGTCTGGAGACCAGGGATTTACAGGTTGTCACCGGGCTGGTACTGGGGTTCTGTTGCAGTGAAGTAGTCTTCAAGGAAACCCTGCAAATATTCAAAAGTTGGACGCTCCTCTGGGTCTTTTTTCCAGCAGTGGATCATAAGCTCGTGCAAGGAGATGGGACAGTCCTGAGGACATGGCATCCGATAACCACGTTCTACTTGCTCCAAGACTTCACGGTTATTCATGCCTGTAAAGGGCAGACAAATCCACACTGTCAAATTACAGGAAAATTAACCTGAGTATAACTATATTGACAATATACGTGGTTTTCTCAATCATACTAATTTCTTTTCGTTCAGACAAATGAAACAAAACCTCCTCAACGTCTTGTTTCAGCTCTTCAGCTACTGCAAGGTAACTTAGGTTATTTTCTTTCTCAGTAGAGGGTTTTAGGATCCAATGATGAGAAAACGCTGCTCCCATGGTTACCCTCTTGGCTTACTCACAATGGGCAGGATTTGGCACATTCCCTTCCCAAAAACAGCAGCTGTGAAATATATTATGTGAAGTGGTTAAAGAAAATAAAAAAATACTATTCAAAATTCCAGAAATTAAGATGAACATTTGAAACCCTCACACTGAACGTGGGCCGTTCTTGAAGAGCTCTGTGATGCCATGCTGCAGGAGACCTCAAGACAAACTCTGCTACTTTGGGCTACCTGGGCTGCCCAGCAGCATTAACTTCAACACTGGTTCAGAAGCTTACTACTGCTGATGATCTGCACTCCCTCGATCTATGCTGGTTAGCATTGTTGCTACCATCCCAACCCAGAACTGAACAAAGCTGCTGAAAAGACAAGTCAACCACCAAGCAAAACAGGTCCACTGCAGAACCACAGTGCTCTCTCACAAAAGGTAAAAAGTTATATTGCCATCATCCTTGATTCTAAGAGGTAAGCCCGGCCCTTTGCTACCTTGTCTTTTCTATGCAACCTCTTCAACCCTTGATTCCTCTGCTGAAGTGTTTTGCACTGTTCATTAATTGCAGTCAACCTCAACATCAGTTTAAATAGCTCTTCCAGTAATTCTTTTGGCTTTTTAGCAGTACCGCAAGTAAGACAAGCACTGCAGGCATGCAGAAGTATTTCAGAGAAAGCATGCACATTGACTGCAAGCTTTGTGGCTTGGCAAGTCCTGCCTCAGTCCTCTGTTGAAAAATATCTGCAGGCTTCACCCCCCTGACTTAGTGGGTCCTCCCAAGCAGGTCTGGAGGAGAACTAGAAGGGACATTTAAGTTCCTCCATGACCAAATCTAGAAACCAGCACCTTGATGTTGCTCTTTCCGTTAGCTTATCATCCCCCTGGCTTCCACAACACCATCCTTCCCTGGGTCTCCTCCATTTTATTCTTCCAGGGTGCTGTCTTGAAGAATTTCCATCTTCAGGACCCAGGGGATCGTCTCTTTTCCCCCTACCCTGTATTTTTGGTAAACTTATTTGTGAGAAATAATTCAACCACCTTCTCCAATATAGATTAATTTGTCTACTCTATACCTTGACTAGTGGGAATAATATCCTCACACTGCATGGCATTTAGGCTGGTAACTTAGCTGTATCCTTGGATTTGGTCTTTACTCTGAGTCCTTACATCCTGGCTGTGTTTAATTCTTAATGATGTTTTAAAAGAAGCATCTGCAAAATACAGCCTTTCTTTACCATCCACATCTAGATTCTCATCTCATGTTAGGATTACAAAACACCTTTTCCTCCTATCTTGACAGGGTAATTTCCTCCTGCTGATATCCATTTGCAGTGTCTCTGCAAGGATCATTTTCCTAGCTGTAACCACTTCTTGCATGGTCTTGCTGCTTGCTTCTTGTTGCAAGCTGCTTTTCTTCACTTTTAAAGCCCCTCACAGGCTGCCCCTCTAGCATTTAGGCTCTCATTTGGCCACATCCTGGTTAATCCACAGTTCTGGCTAGCCTACTGCAGCGCCTTCAATTTTCAAACAAGCACTGATGTGCTGTTTCTTATGCTGCCTGTTGCACATGGAGAAACTTCCCCAGAAAACTGCCTCATCCTCCTACAAACTTCTCCTTACTGTTCCCTTTAGCAGTGATAATTGCAAAAAGAAAGATTAGATTACTGATTTACAGTATTTCCTAACCTGCAGACCAACAATTTAGCAGTGCTTTCTTGTGTTTTATTTATTACCTGCCTCCACCTACTGTATCTTTGGTGTTAGATATTTATGAGTAGGAGCAAACACTTTGTATGGTACCTAAAGTGATCTGTGGTTAGGACTCAACAGAATGATGAAAATAGAGTAATAATGGTCCTCTGCAGACATCAGACTCTGCATAGAGTTAAGTTTCTCCGGTATTACTGACTCCAAACTGATGTTGTTAGGTCACACAGGCTCACGACAAACCAGAAAAGGTTTGTTCATACACTGAACAAACATTCCTTGTTATCCAGCAAGAATATTTTCAAACATATTCTATATTTTCATTAAATTACAAAACAATGCTAGTGGTCTGTTAGTCATCACCAACCCAAAGGCAGCATCAACCCAAACCTTCTGGCCTTGCTGCTTTCAAGATGCTACATGAAAAAAATGGGCATTTTGCTCATGTTGTGTTCTCAATATTAGTTTTTTTAATTTGTGTTTTGAACAAAAATCTGCACCATTTTTTCATGTCCTTATCTTTGAATCAGATGAATTACCTCATGTTTTGGGGTGAGAACTTCTGCTGTGCTTTGCTTCCCTTACATATTGACGTCTATGAAAATAAGTGTTACCAGTAACTCATCTATTGTATATACCTAAACCATGAACAAACTTCATTCTTTGTTTTTATTTTGGCAGTACCCCTTTAAGTAAAACATGGGTGGAAGAAACAGCAGCAGAAAAGCTCCTTCCCAACTGATTTGTTATTCTAAGATATCAAATGTTTGGTATTTTTATCCAGTGCATTACTCAGTGCTGCAAAGCACACTCTGAAACTTGATAACGAACTGTATGCTGGAACAAAAACCCTCAGGAGAGAGAAGGGGGAGGAAAAACATAAACAGCTCTTCACTTCCCTTTTTTTTTAAAAAAAAAAAAAAAGAGAGAAAAAAGAACATAAAAGAGACATTGCTGTCTGAAATCATAGTCATTTTTTGTCCCTGGAAAGTCAGTCAAGCCAGGCTTTTTCATCACGGTATAATCCAGGAAAATGCCCTTCTTTTCCTTTCTCCTTTCCCCTCCCTCTCAGTAAAGCCCAGATATGAAACTAAACCAAGTAATCTTCATGTTCCTTACTGGAATTCATATGTCCAGTAAGGGCTGCAGCACCTAGGATTTGCCAAAGAAATTATTTCGGTTTTGACATGTGCTGCTAATTTAAAAAAAAGGAGTTTCAGATTATTTTTTTCCCCAAATCAATTGGATTATTTATCAGACTTATAAAAATAGCAGTGTTTCAGGTATACTTTTTACCTCTTAAAAGGTCTATTGATGTTTACAAACCCATTATCTAGATTCACTTATCTTACCCTACAAGTTTTAGCATTTCTCTTTTGATAGCAGAAGCCTGTTGTATCTGCACTTCTAAAACCACAGAGAGAATATTTGAGCAGTCTGTACAACTTCTCTCTCCTAATGAATACCCGAGAGTTTCAACTCTTTTAGTAAATAATAAATGAAATTCTGCTTGCAGTACGCTTCTAGACCCCTTAAAAGTTTATCCTAAAATCCTTAAATCTGTGGAATAAACTACTCAGCAATATTCTTCTGTAGACTACAGCTATTTTACCTACTTGAAAATCAGTTTGTGCTCATGATGTTTCTAGAACTACCATTTGGACCAAGAAGAAAACATCCAATTTCCAAAGGATGGCTTTTCCATTAGTGCTTTATTCCCTGAGAAGAAATGAAATAACCTCCCACCATCCAGCTTTATTAGTGAAACCTCCAATAGTGTTAGGATGCCACAGGATATGGCCACTTTAATGGTCAATATAATAAAAATCTACTGCCCATATGTACTGGGGACAGAAACACAACCCTCCTTGACTTTTCCTAGGAAAGCTGCACTAGTAAGAGTTGCTGTGACACAAAAGAGGATGTAAAGTTTCCAGTTGCGGCTAAAGAAAACACTGTAAAGTGCTTTGGAGTGCTCTGAGGAGCTTGATTAGATGGAGCACGGCAGATGTGCAAATAGCACAGATCTGGGCAATGCTGCTCTTCCAGAAGACAGGAAATATTACTGTAACTAGGCAGCATCCCCACATCCTAAGCTAATAGACCATATAGATTACTTTGGGCAACGTGAAGTCCAGTGAGGACAGTGGTAGTTTTAAGCAACTTTATTCTTGCTCTCTTCTGTTGGACTGAGAATTATGCTCCTTCAAGATGGACTGCATGCTTTCAGACCAATGATCACACTGAAACAGACACAAATGCATAAAGCAGTATTCCTAAAACTGCAGCTCAGCTGCTACCATCCCCAGAAATGTTGCATTTCAGATTCTCCCAGAACTATAAGCTGTGCCTCTGCTCACGTTCAAAGGTTCCTCAGACGTGGATATGTTGGCCCTTCTCTAGTACAGTTGAGCAGGTAAAACTGTGCAGTCCTCCACAGGGGCTGGATCACATTGGCACCCAGAGCATGGTCTCAAAAGAGAGAGGTACAACAGCGACAGGTTGATTTTGGGGTTTTGTTCAGTTTGATCTAGATGCAGAATTCCTAACTTCTGTGGACAGCCCCAAAGAAAAGCCAGAGGTGAGGATACAGGGTCCAGGGTCGAGACTATTCCATACACAGGCACTATAGTGTACTGAACGTAACAGAAAAGCTGATTCTGAAGGAAGACAACATTTGAAGCATAATGCTGTTCTTATTGAGTACAATATGAATCTAGTTATTTCTGTGCAAAAGTAGCAACAAGTTTGAAAAATCTGGAAGTCATGCCACTTCATTTAGAAATTAAGGCCTGAAAACCCCCAAGAACAACTCATACTCAAAACACCCACAAAGGTAGGCTATCAATATCTGTTGGGGGTTTTTTTTTTGGTATGTTTTGGTTTTGGTTTTTAAAATAAGCTATTATTTGCTTGGTATAAGAGATGTAACTTTGAGCTACAGCATTTGTGAGTGGAGCTTTCCTGCTTACAAAGAAATCCACCTGAGCTTATCTGTGCTACGTGCTGAGTGCAGATCTCTCAACTCCTTACCTACCGTCCATGATGAGGGTACACACACATACGCTGGCTCACTGATGTGTACTCAGCCCCAGGCTTGGGCAGTGTACCATGCACTCTCTGGTAGCTGTGGCCTAGCTTCCCCCATGGATGAGGAGACTGAACACAGCTCCCAGGGACTACTTAGAGCCCAAACTCAAAGACTTGCCTGGCCGGAGGCAGCAATGTGGATAGCATCATGGTGGCTGTCACTCTAGACATAAAACATAAATGCTCTTGATGTGACAAGTGCAGCAAAAGCAGAAGAGGCAAGTTCAGAGGTTCTTGTTTAGTGCAGCTGAGATTTTTGCCTATCCAAAAAGCAATACGTTAAAAAAAAATCTCTGACTACTGCTAGAGAAATGCCTCCCATTCTTTAAACTACATTAAAAAACCCAAAACTAAGATCCAAGGGGAATTTTTGAAAGAGGAAAGAAACAGACACTGAAGAAGGCTGACTAACCAGACTATTTTTTATACTTGGTTCCTCTTCTGTTCCTGTCTAGTTTTTATTTCCCCTCTGTGATAGTGGAAATAGAACCTGAATGCCCAGAAAGACTGTGAAAGTTGCTTATTTCAATCTGTTGCCCAGTGAAAAGAATGGGAAAGCCTTAGGGAAGGCTAGGAAAGGCACTAATAAATTAGTTATCATAGCAGTTCATTATGTCGATTGATAGAGCAAGAGGCTTGGTTGAAGGATGAAGATGAGGACACCTCTCAAAAAGTCAGTCTTCTGTGTGGGAGCTATAAGGCCTGGGGCAAGGCTTGATTATGAACTCTAGCCTTATCTTCATCTGTGCCAGCAAAATCTTTACTGCTTGCATGTCCCACCACTGCTCCAGCCTCTCTTCCAAAGTGGGGCATCAAGACAGGAACTGTTTGAAATCTGTGAGACAACGTCCTGTTCCACATGGACTGTTCCCCTCTTATATACTGCCTGCCTTCTCCTGCTGTCCTCCTCATTGTGATTCTCCTTCCTTCTGCACAAGCTTAAAACCATGCCTCGTTCTCTAAGGCATGAGGTACAGTGCCCTGCGGGCATGGTTACTGCCACAGGACTGGGGTGTGCGCTATAAATAACCTCTCCAGACACTAAGATCTTGTCAAGCCAGAGAGCAATCCCTTTGTCTGAGGGCCTCTCCCCACTCCCCCCGTCCTGCCACAAGCTGTAAGCAGGAACATCAGGACAACATGCCCACAACTATTTCTGAAAGTGGGTATTACAGCAGAGTGACAGCTCCGTGATCCTCTTTGTTTCAAGGCTGACCCTTTCCAGAGCTTGCAAATCCACATGCCTCGGGTGCCAAAGTGGTCGGCAGTGCCTATGAACTGTGTTCTCTCACCTACAGGTTGCCTACTACGACTTGGGTGAGGAGGGCCGAGTTCTGCCTCTCAGGGTGGTTGAACTCCCATCTTTTCCTCCTTGCGCAAGCCATACCGCAATGGCAGGAAAAACCCTGTGGTTGCATCTGAACCCTGCTCCCTGCCCCAGAAAACGACTTGAATTAATGAAGCTTTATTCTACCAGGAGGTCCTTCCTCTCCCTCGCATGAAGCAGGAGATGGATAATCCTTTCTATGTCAGGGGAAAATGGAATAGTTTCTGAGGGGCTCAGGAGGTCTTTGTCACCTTGGGAAGTCTGAGCCCTCTTTTCAACCCGCATGTAAAAAAAGATGCTTCTGAGAAGGTCCCAGTTCCCCCCCACAGTTGCCTCAGCCTATAAAAGCTTTCCCAGTTAGGGTCTGGGCAGTGCGACCAGATCGAAATCTAAGGATTCTGGAAACTCAAATTTAAAATAGAAGATGCCCTTAGGTAAAACTGACAGAGAGAGGGGAGTGATGGTTGGTGACCACGAGAATGGTTAATGCCTCCTGGCTGAGCAGGGTGGGAGTCCTGGAGGGGAGTAAGGGCGCTGGTGTAGAGCTCGGGCAGTGTGTAACTGAGGATATATGTGACCATCCAGAAAATTGCTGACTCTGCGATATGTAACACACAAAAAGTTGCTTCCAGCTACTTGATGTCTTCTTTAGCGTGGGTGGGGGAGAGTGAGCCGGAAGGATTTTCAGTGTGTGAGGGATGAAAGACAGTGCTGAAAGAGGAGGGGTGCTGTCAGTTGTCTTTGATGTGCTTAAACTGCCATGTAATAAAACTGTCTGTATTTTCAGGACACAGACCATGCCTGAGATTGCTGTCATGGATCCTACAAGAAGTTATACATTGCAAGCACTTAAATGTACATCCAGTGGCCTCCTTCTTCTTCAGGGAGGGGAAGGAACAGTTGGGAAGTCCAGTCTGCTGCCATGGGCAACCTTGTGTTCATTTATGAACCTGTGGGTTAACACAGGGCTGAGACAGTCACTTTTGCCTGCAACAGCATTTTTCCTCTGTGTGTGTGTGTCTGTGCTCATGCATGTGATAAGAGAGAAGCCTAGTTCTTAAGTATCTCTGCCCCACCAACGTGGCGCTCAGGAAAAAAAAAATCACCTTAACTCTGCCGTGGCTGGCGAGAGCCCATGTGCTCCCACTCTGCTGGTAGTGACCAGGAATTTCCTCTCCCTGAAGCCCAGCGAGGAGTGGTGGGAGCAACACCGTAAGAGCTGTGTCTTACACATCTTCCTTCTGCCTTTGACCTTTGCACACCGCGCCATGTCTGCATTTAACTGTCAATGAACCCGTGGAAATCACGGCTCTCCCACGCCCCTGCCAGTAATCCTGATGGCAAGAAGACCTTTGTGCCCTCTACTGACACAGCCACTCTTTGTGGAGGCAACACCCATGGGGAAGTGCTGGGCAGGGGGACTCATCCATCCCACAGAAATACATAATCTCTCTTTCTGCTACCTCATTCTGTTGTCACTGTCACAGCTTTACTAAGCTGCTCCCTGTTAATCATGCCAAAATTCACTGCTGATCATTAGAAGCCTTCCGGTCCCCACATTTTCTTCCCAAAAACTGTCTCTAGGTGCTAGGAAAGTCAAAATTCCTGGTGAAACTCTGCGAGTTTAGTTTTGCTGAGCTCAGTCTTCTGAAGTGGCGTGAGATACCACAGGATAAACTGAACTCCGCCTTGATGCTTCTCCTGCACAACTTGATGGATCTGACTGCTTGATTGTGGCACAAGACTGGAAAATTCAAACTGCTTTAGGGTACTTTCAATTAAATCAGCTGCAGTGCACACAGCCATACTAGTGAGTATATAGAGACATTAAAAAAATCATAAAAGAATAAAGATGCAGCTAGATGCTATGTTCTTAGTATCTGTGCTGATAAGAAAATGAAGGGATTAAATTTTTTTCCATGTCAATGCACTGTTTTCACCTCAATGCCTATGATTTTCGGAGGGCAACAGAATGAAAAGCTCTTTCTGTATAGGCAGATCCAATCACCCCTCCTACAAATCTTAATCCATTGGATACTTGGCAGAGTTTCAACAAAGAGCCATGGGGCCTCCGGTTTCCCCATGCAGAGAATCTGTCCCTGCTGTGACCCTGCCAGGAGCTCCGGCCTGCACATTACAGAATTATTTTCCTTCCTTTCCATCCACCTTGAAAGCAAGGGTTAAGATTTAGGATTTAAAAAAAAAGAGATTTGCTAATACCAGATATTTAGACAGTCATCAAACTTTGTAGAGAACCAGACTGACACAATAAATGGAGTAATACCACTCCAGAAGTGTAATGGTCAGTATCTTAAATGCAATACTGTGGAGAGCTATTTGCTCCATAGTATAGTACTTTTACATTGCTTTCATTATTTGGCCAGAAATATATTAATTGAATTGAGAACAATTAAAAAAATTTAGAAATGAGTATGTTGTATTTTCTGTCCTCTTGTCACTTTTATCATGACCATCACATAGCAGCTTAGTCAGGACCGCTTCCCAGCATATGCAGCACTTACGCATGACAACCATCCTCCTTTGAGACCAGTGAAAATAAATACACATCCCAACTTAAGCACATGGCTCGTTCCCACTCCTTTCCCCAGGTGAAGCAGGGCTCAGACTGTTTTCTTACCTGGATATGGCACTCTCCCTTTTGTTACCAGCTCTGTCAGTAGGATGCCAAAAGACCACACATCTGACTTTATTGTGAACCTTCCATACAATGCTGCTTCTGGCGCCGTCCATTTAATGGGAAACTTTGCACCTATTGAAAGAATAAATGAGTTTTAATCAGAATAGAGACAGAATCAAAGTACCAATTCGCAGGTGACTGTTATGTTCTGCAACACATGCAGGAGGACAGAGCTGCAGGCAAGTGTTAACAAACAGCTCCATGGAGTACAGTCAGAGAGGACAGGCAAGGGCAACATGTAGGGCGGAAAGAAAGACTCATCAGGGAAGGGGTGGGTTTGTCCCACATCCCCAGAGAAGGCTAAGACTTTTAAATTCAGCTTTCAAGTTCTATAAAAGAAAAAAAAAGTTTAAAAACACAATAAGCCAAATATAACAGAAATTCTAACAAAATGCTTTAAATTAACATTTCCTTGTGATATTTGCATGTCAAACACAGTTACCACGTATGAATAGAAGTGACACTTATTAGAAATGTAGCTCCCAGTTTTCTTGCTCAAGCTGAGCAAAATGCAAAACAAACAAACATGGTAAATCGCAAATTAAAAACAAACCTAATATTTCATTAGAAACATCCAAGGACTTAAAAATAATACTGCCATTTGAGTTACTTGGAGTACAATAATACCAAGGCACAGCTTTGGCCTGTGATTTATAACTTGACAGTGTACTTTAAGCTCCTGGCACTGAAAAGCCTGTAGTGCCTTAGATACGTGCAGTTCTAATGTGCTCATCCATCATCAGAACTTGCAGAAGCCAGTTGTGGTAAGGATGGTAAGATAACAAGCCTTTAAACACTGATTTATTTGCTTTTCCAATCATTTACTGTTTTCTCAGGGAAAATATTTTCAGTATGACTTTAAAGAAAAGTCTTGTGGTAATAATTAACCCGTAGCACATACGAAAAAATATGCAGACATTTCCCTGGTGCCTTGTATTAACACACAGGCAAGAGTTGCATTGCTTATTGCTGATCCCTAGTGACAAACACTCTCGAATTTGGGAACAGACTGACTTTGACTTCTCACCACCCTCTCATAAAAGTTCCCTCAGCTTTCAGGAGGAGTGTGGAAAGTGTAACAACGTGGACAAATCACTCTCAGGGAGTGAAGTTACGGCCCTGTTTACAGTTCCCTGCTGGCGCTGTTCTGCCGTCACATCCAGCACTTGATGCCTCGTGTCTTCTGCTAGATGCCAAAATCTGGCTCGACTCAGAGTACAAAGTAAGCATGGTAATCCTCCTTACTCAGTAAAATATCAGGTGTGCTAAAATTTTTCCTGCCCTACATGTAAGTGATCCTAAGAGAGAATATTACCCAGAAACACACATTTTTCCAGGGAAAATTGCAGTTGCTCAAGTAAGTCCTGCTAAATTAAAAGACAGAAGACAAAGTTTCAAATCTCTAATGCCTGAAGTCAGGAGCTTAAGTCTAGTTAAGCATCAACACTTTGGCGGTTTGATTTGCAAAGGTGCTGGAGGTTTTGTAGATGTCTATTCACTTTCAAAAAAGTCTGCCTCTCCTGTATATCCCTTAGTTGATATGCAGGCAAGAGCTAAAATTCGAGTGCTTGACTTTGGCCTCAATCTCCTTAACTTACACTTCTTCATGTGACAAATCTTAGTTTACAACACTCAAAATCTATTGCATCTTCTCTTCAAATTCACCTTGGCCATGATGCCTGAGATCTCTGCAGCAGCAGCCTGCTGTCACTTCAGCCTCTGTCCTGGAAGCTGGCCCTGCTCCAGCAGCACCAGTGGCCACGTGGGGCTGGCAAGTGGCTCCTGGGGTACACACCCCTTGCTGATCCCCACAAAGACTGGGGATTGGGTTCCCTAGGCCTACAGAGCATGGCTTTAGATGGGCTTATGCAGGCGTGTGATGAATATGAGGGGAAATACCCCTCTGCTCTCTCATACGTGCAGCTGAGATAGTACACAAGCACCATGCCAGCTGAATGAACAGCTCCAGGCTGGCCAGTAGCCTGAAGGTCTGGATGTTGGCTGTGGTATGTGAGACAGCCAAGAATGAGAATTTGCTCGTTCACTCATTGCACACATTTTATTCAATGATTTTTGTTTTGTGTGGGGTTGTTTTTTTTTGGTTTTTTTTTTTTTTTTAATCAGCTGTGTTTTGAAGAAGCTGAGCCAAACCAGGTCTAATTCCCTTGTGTTTCATACTCAGATCCAAAGGTAGCAACCACTCACAACTCATCTTTGGAGGAAAAAAATCTCCTCAGACTCCTTCATGGCCAACTCCCCTGGTATATTTTCCTTCCTCATTTACTGCTGGTGTGGCACTGGGAGCTGAGTATGTGGAGTGCCCAGGGACCATGGGAAGATGAGAATCAAGGTAAGAAGGGGGACAATTCCTTTTACTGAGAGCTAGAGCAGTGCAAATACCATTGGACTGTGATGAACACTGCTGGAGAAGACAAATGGTCTGTGCTGTGGATTTTCCAACAACAGGATGGCCACTCATTACATTTCTATGTTGCCCCTGCTGCTGGTGATTCTCTTGCTAAAACAACTAATAGAAAAACCCCATGTTCTGCATTTTGTGCAGTATTTCCTGAACTTTGGTTTGAAGTGATAGATGGGGAGGAGGGAAAGGCAAGGTTGGCAGCGAGGTGACTAGCAGAGCCCTGCCTCATGGTTTTCTGGCCCTGCAATGCATGCTGGAGGCTAGATGGTCCAAGAGAGCCTGCAACCCAGTATGGCCAAGCCATCAGTAAGGGGAGAGCAGAGAGCAGTGAGGACCTACCACACTGGCCCTGCACAGCTGCAGGTACAATGCATGCACTGCCATAACACAAGGAGACCACGCACACCGAGCTTGTGTGAACAAGGATAAACAACACCAAGGGCAAGCAGCACTTTCTGGGCACCATCACAAGCTACGTGTGCTTCCAGAAGAGCCCAAACAGGTGGCAGCATCACTGCTACAGCGTGAGCAATGCCAGGGGCGGGTAGGCGGGGGTGTGTGTGTATGTAGGAGCTGATCACAGCAGCATTTTGCAGTGACTAACAGGGATCCCTTCGAGGTGCTGCCTTCCATCTAATGTCTGGTACTGGAGACACAGGCAGTGCACTTCTGTGTAAACAGAAAAATCCCCAAATGTGTTGAGCGCTGCTCTGAAGCCTCCTGATTGCTACAGCTATACGAGGCGTTTGCACAGGCCTGACACTCTGCATGGCTCCTGACTGACACACAGACTCTCTGTATTCACTCTCTTCCCAACACACCAATTTAAAAAACCCACCCCCTCTCTCTGCCCTGGTCTCAGCAGCTTATTATCCATGCTGACTTTGTGCTGCAAACAAATTACAGCATCAGATCATGAGATAAAATGCATATTACTGACAAGCATGTTAATAAATTTGATAACCCAAATTACCCCAGCTGACAAGGCAGCCTATCTCCTACTTTGAAGGCAGATTTTACATCAGTGGGGGGGGATTTGTCTCTTTTTTTTTCTTTTGCTGGTTCATAACAAACTAGCAGGTCAGTAACTCCACACATACAAACCAACCATGCACTGTGTTTATTAGGTCAGGATAGCCTGTCTTTGCCCCAAAGCGAGTTACTAATCTGCAGCTTTTATCTCTGTCCCTTTTTTGAAACATTTCAGCCCGGGGAAAGCCTTTTTTGGGTTTCTGCAACCACACCAAGACAAAGCTGTGCATACAATTTGCTGGTAGGGCAGCTGGCCCTGCCTCCTACTGCTGAGGATTTTTGTGAGGCTCAGCCCTGTCCTTGGGACCTCTGCCCAGCTCTGCCCAGGCATTCACACAGGCTATCTCCTAGGAATTCCTTGGGAAAAAAATCAATCCATGGCCCTGCTTTAATTATTCGTCAGCTATAAGCAGGTCGCATAACAAGAAGGAGACGAGAGGGCTGGGATAATTGAGTGACCTTGACGTACAACTCTCAGCATGGTTTCTTCTGAGGCGAGCAAAAATCCCTCAGAGCTTTGTTTTTTCAGATCTAAATCTCGATGAAGCAGAAACTTCTGAAATTCATGCCCCAGAGCCACTACCAGCTTGATAATGATCCTGTTTCTGGAAATCCTACAAAGCTGCTACCTCTCGTACCTTGAAACCAAACCCAATGCAGCACCCCAAGCTCTAAGACCCCCAAACCAGGAGAACTCTTGGTTTAGCAACTAGAGAATGTAGTGCAGTATCAAATTGCTCCTGGGTCTGGAAAGTGAAAGCCACAAAAGGTAAAAACAAAATGCTGAAGCAAGCATGTAACAGGAAACGAGTCAGCCCTGGTAGGCGATGATGAGTGCCGTGTGGGAGGGACCGCGCAATTACATTTTTTGTGCTGCGAGAACGAACATGAAATTACAAGCCTGGCAAAAAATCAGTGATCAGAAGCAGGCTCCACAGGCTGACCCCTCCCCGGGAGATAGGGGAGAAGGGGCAGAACTGTAGGTCTAAACACCCTCTCACCCTCTGTCTGCACGCCCCCCTTCCCCTCGCCCTTCCTCTTGACCTGGCCGTGCTCCTTCTCACAGAGCAGACGGCATCTCTGTAGGAGTGTATCAGTGATCTGCCTCTGGGACCCTGGGGGCTGGCTGTTGAGAAGGAAGGGTCCTTCCTCCTATCTGCTCCATGGCTCGCCTGGGGAACAGCAGGCAAAGAGCAAGAAAAATGCCCTGGACATTACAGTTCGAAGTACAGTCAGTTGTGAACAAGAGGGATCTGATTAGCTGGTGAGATGGGAACCACGTGTCTACAAGAAAGGACTGGGGAGAAGGCGAAAAAAATACCTGCTCATTTCTAGGAAGTCAAAATAAGAAGCGTCACTTTTTTTAAGCAGGGCAGGAAGGAGATATTTCTAAGTGTTAAGGAGGCAGAAATGATTATACTAACATATACTAGAGCTCCCAAAATAGCTCTGGCTTGTCTGGAAGGCATCAAAAAGATCCTGATTGTTTCATGTGTGCTTGGAGCAGCACTGCTGCAAGTGCTGCCAGTGTATGCAGTAGAAACAAGGCCTGGAAAATAACTCTGCTCTTTTTTCATTAAGGCAATTTTAAATTTCTATCAGCTGCTGCTGCTTAGAATAGTAACAACTCTTCCCCAGCAACTCTGTGGAGCACTCTGCACTCTCCACAAAAATGCCAAAACTCCATATAGCTGCAAACCAGATCAGTGTAAGGGTAGCAGAACTGTGTGGGAAATCCTGTGCTGGAGGTGATGGGAAGTTTCTCTCTGTCCTGTAGGATACCAGGGGTTTTAAAGCTTGACATACAGGACTGATACAAGCATCGTCACCAATGGAAGGAAACAAGACTGAATGCCTGACACTGTGTGTGTGGGAAGATGTTGCAACAGCAATAGCCAAAAGAAGCAAGCCCCAACGGTGCAGGCTGCAATACAGTCCACCAGTGTAGCCTTTAAAATGGGCGTCACTTTAATAGGCATGTTTTTCCCCTTTGATTACTCACTTCCTCTAAAAGCAAGAGGAGCCAAACCCTCATTACAAGCCAAGAACTTTTTTTGTATTATTTAATGGCAGTGTATAGCTGCTAGTCACACACTTTAAATCATTAGTAGCGTGACCATCTCTTTCCTTCCTGACGATTGCTGAGAAATGGCAGTGCAGACAACGAACCGCTTTTTATTTACCTCTCATAAATCAGGACCAGTCAGTCCTCCTTTGTTCAAATCAAAAAGAAAATAAACCGGTCAGTAAAATATTACCACCAGGATGAATAATACCCATACAGGTTCAGGAATCCTGCACTCTAGCCCACTGGGGCTCAAAGCATCCCCATCTGTTTCCTTTCAAAATATTTAACTGGAGACAACAGTGACAGTGGGGGAAGGGAGCAGGAGATCAAGCAAGGCTGGAAAAAACCACCTCTGCCCCATGCCGACAATGAGCTCTGTACTAACACACTTAAGCCAAGAGAAGGATGACTGCTGAGGAGAGAGTGACCAAAGGCTTTAATCTTCAGAGTTTGCAAGGCAAAACATTCCTTTCTCCCACAGGAGCTGCCAATCTGGAGCGTTCCCCATTCCCCTCCCCTCCGTTGGCCAGGCTCTCCTCCTGTGTCAAAATTCCCACTGAAGCAGTAGTCAGCTAGATAAACAGAGCAGTCCCCAGATGCATCCCCTCGGAGGCTGAAGTAATAGGTCATGGGAAACAAGCAGAGGCAACCATTTCCTTCTGATACTGTGGTCTCCACCAAGCAATGCCCAAATCTGAAGTTTAACTAAACAAACCAGGACTGAATCCCACTTGAAGAAAAATTCCACTGGCACATTAGAAACCAGGTTTCTTCCTCAATAAATTAAAGGTCTTAGGCTCACCCTGGTAGCTCTGTTGGCTTGGAAGCCACATTAATTGCAAAGAAATGTAAATTGAGAGGGTGCTGCTTGGTCAAACATGCACGCCTCCCTAGAACAAGCTACCACTTAAGAAAGGGTCAAAAAAATTAGTGAAAGTAGGAAAACACTTTCTACAAGATGTCTGTGATGACAACTCTTTGGGTCTTTCTTTCAAGAAAGTCTGTAGCTCCGAAGGACTCAAGTTTGACCCTGAGGTCAGGGGAAGGAAGTACTGTCCATTGCCCTGAAGTATGGGAAGGATGGGTGACTTCTCCATATTTGCACCATGAGATGAAGCAAGGCAAACATGATTTAGATCTCCTGATCATCAGTGATGCAGGTTAAAAGCTAACCTACTTCTCTCTTCCCAGCCACTTTTTCCACAATACAAGTGATTTTTGTCATGGAAGAAGGCAGGAGCTATCCACAACAACGCTCCCTCTCCCTTCCAGTCCTGACATCATGCTTTTCTCAGCTCAAAGTTTTCCCCCTCCAAAATCCAATAATTTTTATTGTCTAAGCTTCTCCTCAACATCAGTCAGGTAGTTTTTCATGGCTTTCTAACATGTGAAGAGGGCAAAACTATTCTGGGAGATTTAAACCAAGAAGCAAACAGATCATCAGAAGATTTTCTGGGGATCAGGAGCCTGAGGAGATTTGGCCAGAAGCAGGCCACATACTTGTCTATTAAAACAAATAATTTCTCACGTCAAACTATACGTTGTGTGGTTTCCAAAGTGAACAAAAGGCATGGCAGTAAAACTGACAGAAATGGAGATAATATAGGACACTGTTTCAAAGCCATTTTGCAGACTGGATCTGCCTGCCTCGTTCAAGGAAAACTTTTCTCATTTTACACAGGGGAAGGGCAAGTAGGCAGCTTTCTGTCTACCAGAGCCTGCAGAGACTCTTGATACTCTGGAGAGAATGACACAAGGCTATTTTTTCTAGCAAGGAGCAATTCCCTTCCTCAGGCTGAAATCAATAGTGGTTACCTCTGTACATTAGTACCTACCTAGTCCTTCAAGAGTCTACCCAAAATAATTAGGCCTCGCTGTCCCACTGTGAAGCAGGCAATTTTTAGGTTGGATGTAGCCTGTGGTCCACATCCCTGTGACTAGGTACTGCTGACAGCAGTTTGGAGGAGCGTGAACAGCGTGAGAGCTGCTGCTCCCAGGCCAAGACAAGGCATGCTGGAAACTGTCTGGCTCCTTCTATCAACGCTTGAAAGTTACAGAAAGAGGTTAGCTATTTCCTAAGATTGCAAAATCCATGCTGAAACAGGGAACTCTGGTCAAGAGAAAAAACTCACAACAGGAAGGGGTAAATGCAGGTTACAAAGTACTTAACCGACCTGTGCTTTCTGACAACATGCAACAGGGTTTAACAGGACACTGCTTGGCTTTGGCACTGAAATGGGTGGAGCAGTATTTACCGACACATATTGAGAAAGCACTACCAACGTACTGCCAGCAGAAAGAGAACAAAACTGTAGCTCTGCAAACTTGGACCAACATCTAACAACTAAGCATGACTTGTAAAGAATGACTAACTACAAAGAGCCTGTGTCATGGCTCAGTCTGAACACACACACACACACACACACACACATGCTTTTTAAAAAAAACTACAATACTCTTTGATACATTTTTATAGTCTATCAGTGGTCGGCTGTGGCCAGCACTCTGTGGGGCACTCAAAAATGGCTTTCCTATTAAAGTAACTTTTTAAGTTCCCAAAGAAAACATAGTGCTCAGAGAGACAGCTCCACTGCACAGACCCATTTGAAACAAAGAAAATAAGAATAGAACAGCAATGTTGATAATGGTTAGTCAATTCTAGGAGGCACACTTCAAAATATAGAGCTTGCATAGGATTTTCTGGATTACCCCATTCAAGCTTTCAAGGCTGGTAAGTAAAGTATCCTCTCTGTTATGGCACCATGTCAATCTTGTCTTTACTGTCACTTCGCCCACCTGTGCTCCTACTCATCAACCTTGTTTCATTGTGGTCAGTTTTTAAAGGGAAGACAACTGAATAAGATGTTCTCTTTAGGACATGCATTCAGCAGTTAAGTTCTGGGCCAGGAGCTAACATGAGTTCAGGATTTACTGAAAATAATTCCAAAGCATACGAGACAGAGCTTTTTAAAGCCATATTTCAGCCTTACCCTGTCGCAAATACGACACTCAGTGCTATGCCTGCCACTGTATCTACCTTGTCTGGCCGTATATTCATTGTCTTCAATCAGTCTTGCCAATCCGAAGTCAGCAATCTTGCATATTAGGCCATTCCCCACCAGAATGTTTGCAGACCGCAGATCTCTGTGTATATAATTCATTCGTTCGATGTATGCCATTCCTGCAGCCACCTGCGAGAAGCATGAAACACAACCGGTGCATTTTAAAATTAACTCAGACATACATGGGCTATAAAACGTATAGACCTAAGTGCTCAGTTGTCTGAAGACAGACCTGGGCTGCCATGTCCACCAAATTCGGTAACTTCAAAGCTCTTCCTTCTCCATCTTTTAAGAAATCTAGCAAACTCCCTGCAAATGCAAAGTTGACACAACACAGAGATGTTAGGGAAACAATGAATTTTCATCAGAATGGAGGTACAGCAATACGTGTAATATTAAAGACAGTAATATTTCAAGTTCAAGTGGACAGCTTCAAAAATACCCACAATATCTTAGAATTCTTCTATTATCCTTGTTTCACTCTGCTTTAAGTATGGCTTGCAGAAGAATATGTTACTAGTCCAAAGAGAGTTGCAGGGAAAAGAAACAACATTGTTTTAAATGTTCCTGACCCTTACTGAGAAAGCTGATCTTTCTTAACTTTTCCAGTGCTCTTTGAAACGACATACCTGCAGCTCTCTAAAGGCCTCAGCTAGCTGCAAAGCATCAGCTCAGTTCCAAGCCACACAAGCTATGGAAAAAATCAGATCCCAGCTCAACCTGCTCCAAAAGAAAGGTCAGCCTAGAGCCTAGTAAGCTCAAAGGGGCTAGCATTAACAAAGGCTAATTTTCCTTAGAAATTAGTAGTGCTCTTTCTCTAGGTAACCCAAAATTAACTGTAGCATGAACCATTAATTTTAGAAGACCACTATTCAAAACTAGAGAAGACATAGCAGAGATCAAACAAAAGCAATTTTAGCAAAAGCAGTAAGGACATAGCTCCCCTGTGCAAAGGAAAGCAAGGAGGTTCCCTGTAGCTTTTTTAAAAAGCCCAGGATTCTGTCGCTCCCTTCCCAATCTTGTATTCAAACAGAGAACTGTGGCAGTCTCCTTTAAATAAGGTCAGTGAATTGTTTTAATAAATAAGGGGAAAAGACAGATGATTAGGCGTTTATCCCTTGATAAATCGTCAGCCTCAAGCTCAGACCCAAAGATGTAAAATGTTACAGTAAAAACTAGTGAAGCAAGCCAAAATCAACCACATACTTCAGAAGGATTTTGAGAAGCCTTTTTAAAGGGGAAAAAGCACATGCTTGTCACTGAGACATATGATTAAAGTGTGAGTTACTCAGGGCTTGAATGCCTCTGAGGAGAGAGGCGGGCAGGTATCTGCCAGGAAAATAAAAATCAACTCCAAATAGACTGAAAAAATGCACTTAAAATTTCAGAGTGTATCCTCCAATGTACAATGGAACTTCCCAGTGAGAACTTATGTTTCCTATTTGGTTCATTTGCTTTTCCAAAACAAGCAGATTTTTTGCTCTGCTCTCAGCACCCCTGCTGGAGATCTGATGGAGTGAAAAGTTTTCCTTTTCTCATTTTACTTTATCGTTACCAGTTAAGTAGCTTAAAGAAAAAGATTTTTTAAGAGGAGGAAAGAATCATATGTGCCAGCCATGTACTAAAATGATGAATGGGGTAGACTGAAAATTAAGCTGCGATCTGGGAGTGAGGTGCGTGCGACAGAACTCAGGCTTGTTAAAGAGGAAACAGAATTCTTAGGCCGGCAAGTACACACTGAAAGAAGATGCCATCTGAACTCTCTAGTGCCAGGATAAGCTGGGATCTTGGGAAGCAGCACGTAATATCACTCAAACCTAGAAAATGCAGATCTCCACTTGTCAGGGAAGTTTAGATGCTGATGCAGTTGGAAGCACTTGGGCTGCACCAACTTCTCCCTTCCCCACCTAGTGCAAATTTTCTTTGTACATCTAGTGGATTTCAGGTTTTGGGCCTAGTTCAGAGATGAATTCATAATTCTTCTGAAGCCAGAAGTGAATTTAGCTTCCTGTTTCCTCTCTCCTTCCTTACACGCTGTTCAAGCATCACACTGCACCTCCCTCTCTACCCCCAGGGAGCATCAACAAAGAAAAAATATTATCAAGGGCAGCAGCTCTGGCTTTACCTTTGCTCATGTACTCCGTGACAATGTAGATAGGTTCTTCAGACACCACAGCATAAAGTTGGACCAGTTTGTCATGTTTTAGCTTCTTCATGATTTGGGCTTCCTCTAGGAAGGATTCTGGAGACATAGTGCCAGGCTTCAGGGTCTTGATAGCCACTTTAGTATTTCCGTTCCACGTACCTATAAGCATAGATACTTTGTTAGATTAAACATCTTCTGCTTCTTTTTCTGCCTGATGCCTAATGTAACCAAGGAATAAATTAGCAAAGGCACTTAATATAATAATTTTTTAATGTGTGGTTTCCCATGTTGCCTTATCATTATATCACTCCCACGCCTCCCTCATATTTTAGTCTTTTTCTATTATACTGAAAGATAATACTCCCATTGGCACTGGGGCTCAATCGCTGTTCTACTCAGACAATGTTTCCACTGATGTCCACAGAAACCTTCTCTGAGTAAGAAATGCTGGACTGCTGAAACCCATCTTCATGTATTCCCTTGCTAACAAGTAATTGCTACAGACAACAAGACAGCTCCAGTCACAGATTTGGATAGCAAAACTGGTTAAACCCAGAATTTTCCATTTGCAAGACATTTTAACATTTTGGTTTTGTTCTGAGTCAGAGGAAAAAAATATTCTAAGAAAAATTCCCAAGAAACAAATTCTGAATCAATTTCATTTTAGAAACACAGGCATGTTTCCAAACTGAAATGCGTCTTTCTCTTTCCACTCCTCATCCTCAGAAGCCCAACAGCTGCTGATTAAAAATGAGGTGGTTCCTGTCCACTTCACTTTGTTCTTTACTTGCAGTCAGCACTGAAATGGCTAAGTTGCATCATTTTTTCATGCAATAAACTAAAAAACTTGCCTTCTGTAACACCTGAAAGTCTGCACAAGGACCCAGAGAGAGCTGAGGAAGGCTGACTCAGGGCATCCCATGAGAGGTGGGGCTTCACTCAGGCATTTGCAAGAAGGAGGAGAAGGACTGGAAAGAAAAAAACCACCCAAAACACCTACCTATGTTAACAGGTTTTTTTGGGGCCAGGGGCTGGAGAAAGGAAAGGAAGGAAAATTACAGTGGGCAGAAATATCCCTTTCCTAGTGCCTTCTGGTTGTCCCTTGCCCAGACTTGCCAGAACCCTGCTCCAGAGCCAGGGCTGAAATGGCTTTGAATGGGACCTGTGATCTGTTGATAAGGAGCTGCTATGCGATAGGGCAGAACAATACAATTCCTTCAGGAATTAATCACATTGGGTAAAAATTGCTCCTCTGCACTCAAGCATGAGGATAGCAGAAGGCCTACAAAGTACATGAAGACTCAGACTCGAATCTAATTTCTACAAATTAAGATGTCACCTCAAGAGGTAACATGTAAAATAAGCCTGGTTCATCTTTGTTTTAAGAGCCTGTTAACAGTTACCAGGGATCAGCTGTTGCACGGGAACCAGTTAAGTCAAAATGACTTCATCATGAGCTTTTGTAACATGCTAGAGCATAAATGAGGTGGACGGGTTTTTTTGCGCAGGTGGCCAGTTCCCAGCTGCCACCTTGCCTTGCCAAGGACAGGGAAGGAGTGTCGGGGGAGCCACTGCCGGTGTTGTCCCTCACTTGCAGGGCAATCCCCGCAGCAACATGCGACAATGCTGTCTGAGGGGGGCTCGAGGCACATATTACCAAAAGCGTGCAGTGCAAGTTTGGTTTTCACTATGTCTGGATTTTCTTCTGCCAGCTCAGTGCCAGGTGCTGTCACCTCTAGTGGTGGCAGAGTAATGTCGAGTCACTATCATTACTACCCCAGTGCCCTTGAGGAGGGCTCTTGAGGTCTTAGCTTCACTCAGTCCTTCAAATCTGAGCTGAAGCAGGACTTGGCTTTAGTGCCAGTCCCGTGTAAGCTGGGAGGGATATGGTTTCACCTCCTAATTTCAAGGAGGGTGGACAAAATATTTTCTGATGGGTGAAAGGGGGCATGTTTCATCTGGAGCCGTCCGTCACAGCCACTTTGCAATGGTACCACAGATTATATGAACCAGGAACGAAACCCAAGTTTCAGGGGCACCAGGGTTTCTGTCACTGGCATTAATAAACTAGGATTTTACCTGGTGTGTTAACAGGATTAACTGTGTATTATCTGTTTGCATTGCCTTAATAAAAATCCCAGGACTCATTCTATTACCATGAAGTGTTTTCAGCAGTTCTATTTTAAAATATTTTTATGAATTTATCCAGTTAGAAAAATAAAATCAAACAAAAAGGTTAGCTTATCCTCTCAGCCTAGATTTCAGTTTAAATTGTTAAATTTTCTTGTTGTGGTTTGGTATTTTTCTCTCTACCAGAAAATTAGCAGAGACCTCCCTCTGAATTCCTCCCATATGCAGCTAGTTACTACTTAATGCATTTTGTATTAATTTTTACTGTGTTAATCTATTCCAATGTGGCAATGCTTCAGGGCTGTTAACATATTTTTACTATACATTACCTTAAGAAACATAATGTCATAATTGCAATAATTTTTATATTTCTGACAGATATTTGTTAGCGATACTTGGCACTGTATTTCTCATTACTGTTTTTTTTTTTTTTAAATTGTATTTGCTACTTTAGCTTGTTGTAACAGTTTAAGATATATGGCACACAAGGTTGACCTGAAACTCTCACGTGCATTCAATATAGAGAACAGGAAGGTGAAACTGCAGTTATGTGGGCATGCTAATATAAACCACAGGTGGTTTTCTTTGCAACAGGTCAATTGCAATTCAGTGAAATTCTATAAGTTTCTACATTTCTAGTCTACAAATTCTATACATTTCACGGACTTGCTGCCATGCTCCTTGCTGTAGTCTTGCAACAGAAAACAGCTGCAAGAGCCCAGGAGAGCCCACTGGCTATTTTTGTTGTACATACTTTTGTGTCACTGTAACAAAAAAGTAGCCAAACTGCTCCACCAAATGACTCTGATGTAAAGAAAAAGCACATAGCGATTCTTTATTTGAATTGGTAATTTTAAAAAGGCTACGCAGAATGCAATTTGGCACAAAAATTAAGCCCACCTCTCATTAAATGGCCACTGTATTGTGTTTCAATGCTACGGCTGTACTAAGATTTATGTATATTTTAAATTGACATTGTTTTATAGTCATTAAAAGAATGAGGCCCATAGAGAGGGGAGTAGTAAGTAAAGCTGGCAAGTGGGCATAAAACAATGTTAGCAGATTTGGAAAATGTCAATATTTCTGGCCTTCAAAGTGGGGATTCAACTGGGCTGGGCAAGTCTTGCCTCTATTGTCCCTGGTCTCTATATTGAGTTACAGAGTTCTGCTGCAGATACAAATTTCAAAACAGACTTAAAGAAGTGGATGCATGGAAAAGCTATCTTGACAATATCAGCTTGCTGATACTTGCCATTATTTTTAAACTGGAAGACCGGATGGAAGCATTTGCAGGGGCTGACCCCACCGATACTAAAATACACAAGAAAAGAAAAACATCTACTTACCAGATTAAGTACTGGTTAGCCATTCTGCCTCATAAGTTTAGCACCATTCCAATTTTAATCCCTAGCAATTGTGTAGTCACCCAAATAAAGCCCATGCAATTAATGAAGTCTAATGTCCTAACCTCTCATGCCAGTGTGTGCAAATGAAAGGAAGTTCCCCTGTGGATTACTATATTTAGGTCTGACTCTTTTAGGCAATACAGACTGACATTTCATACTATTCTGATCTTTTAGCTTCAAGATTTCTACTTTAAATGTTTATTTCTGCCAAGAGGGCCTTAAAAGATCCATCCAAAGCAAAATATATTCTCTGCCTTACCACGCCACACTTCAGCGAAACACCCCTGACCAAGCTTCTGCTCCAGAAATAATGAATCACGTGCAACTTCCCATGCATCTTTAGCCAATCCAACAGTTTGTGGGGTATTATTCGTAGCAATCACAGTTAAGTTAAAACACAAACCATCAGCTTTCTCTATAGGAGAGGAAATTAATAAAAAAAACACACTTATAATCCAAAATTAAGCATGCATTGAGAAAGATGGAAGGTGACTTCTCTCTCAGTGCTGCATTAAAGTTCATTTGCAAACACTGATTTTTGGATACTGAAGGTAAGGACGTTTTTGTTAGCTTGCAGAAAAAGGCTTCTTGGTATAATTAATAGATTACTATGGGAGCCTTGATTTACTATTAAAACAGTGGTAATTTGTCAAAATCAAAACCTTCCAAGGAAACATGCAATTTCGGTTTTCTCTTGCCATCAATTACAGTGAGAGTTGAAGATTGAAGTATTTCAAAGTCAAAGGCATGGTTCCAAGGTACTTTTCCGAACAGTTTGAGCTTTGCTCGTTTTTTCTTGTGGATCACAATGTCCTACATTTTCACCTTCCATCTTGTAATCCCCACACAGAGAGCTATTTTAGAATAATTATTTTGCTCCATACCCATCCATACTTCCCCAAACTGCCCATTTCCCAGTCTCTTGATCAACTGTAGGGATTCTCGTGGAATTTCCCAGACATCTTTGGTTTTGACAGACAGATCAGTAAGCCTTGGCATTCCTTTATGACAGGGGACTACTAAGCGGCAGCAAAGACCTGCAGCTCTCTCTGATGGAGCCAGAAGTCAAGCCAACAGCAAAGGAGAGGAAAGAAAAAAAAGTGTGACATGAAACAAAACCAGTAAGCATAAAAACAATGCTACTCACAACAGCTGTTAGTTGCATACCACAAAGCATCCTGGAAGATTAGAAATTGAACACTGAAACATATTCATTTGAGACAGAACAGGAAATATTCTAGTCTTTGCTTCCACAGCCTGAAATGGAAGGTGACCCCCAATGGTTTCCATTGTGGACTCAGGATTTTCCTTCTCACACAATGCTGTGTTAAGATAACTTCACGAGTAACTGGTATACTATCGTGCAGTATAACTTTAAAAAAATCACCTGTAAATCACAAATGGGATTGTTTCTGAACTGAGTAAAAGAAACACAGAGAAGATTCACTTTTTCTGAAAATCACAGCAATGAAAATTTGACTGACTTTTTTGAAAATTTTTTTCTAGGTATCTTGGAAAAAGGTATTTTCTATATTCTACTCTGTGAAAAGGTGTTTTTCTAGGTGTCCTGTAAAAGACTTTTTGTGCCATTCTTTATAGAGCAAACCTTTATTAGTGTATGCAGGCAGTTGTACATTGTTTGGGGCAGATTTATTATACTTGTCTCTTGCAAAGCTTCACAGAAGACTGAACTGTGACAAAAATCACAAGATATTTTGTCAGGAGTAAAAATAACTACATATATATATGTATACACATATATTGTTGTATAGTATACTAGTCTGCACAGAGTAGACTCCAATATAAAGCTTGCACAGTGACTTGTGTCTTAAAACATCTGCAGCAGAGCAGAACAAGGCAGGGAACTGCAATTGTATTTCAGACTCAAATCCAATCTTTATTTTCCTGTGCAAGTTTTCCTTCTGGGCAGGCGAACAGTTTGTTTCAGCATCACAGGGTAGGCACCAAAGCTCCTTGCAACACCAAGCTCTACCTCCTCAGCACAAATGTTGTGGGATAGTGGGGAAGTCCCTACAGCCACCCTGATATGTTGTGTCTCCCTGTAGGAAGACAACAAAGACCACAAAACAGGGAAGATTAGTTGACCAGCTGGCATGTCTTAGTTCAAGATAATTCCAATGGGAACATTAGGAGACGGAGTACTCAAAATATGGATAGTATCTGGAAAGCTTCCTTAGGAGTTTGGACAGCTGTAGCAAGAAACATGAGGTTTTTAAGACCTCCTTGTTTTCTTCAATTGGAAAAAAAAAAGCTTGGCATGCTGGTGCTCCAGCTAAGCCTAGACTGCACGCACAAGAGTTTACACTTGACATGGTGGCTGCTAAGGATGGGGTGAGTGGCGCTTCAACCTCAGACATGCGGTGATTGGACTTTAGTCTGACATCAGGACACCCTGGGGATCTCAGTATTTTTCATCTGTAAATCTCATCTGTGAAAGTCCAGACACTGCAGTCAATTTTATTATCCAGGTAAGAGGAGGCTGGGATAAAAGGGAAGTCGGGGTAATCAGGGTGCCTGGCAGTGCAATGGGAGCACAGTGCACAAAGGTACACATTGTACTGCCAGTTCCTGACCCAGGACTGCTTACATGAGACCAGACTGCACACTATCTACCTGGATAGCCTGGTTTCCAGCTGCCTGGACAGGAGGGGTCCTCTAGCCTGGACAGCTATGGGATGAAGGCTGACGGGACAGCTGCAGAGTGTACCTGTCCTGCTGTATAGGCACCCACCTATGGTCTCAGCAGTGGGTCTTCAGGAACTAGACTGATCTTTACAGAGTGATTTGGGCATCTTTGAGCTCTCCCTAGAAGTAAATCTAAGCACTCACAAGGTGTTGTGCTAATCTACCTCCCACAATCAAGAGTGTGGAGCAGGCTGTTAGAGGCACCCTTTATGTTTTGAGTCAGTGGGGGCTGGCATAGAATGAGGGCTCCTGTGTTTACCTGGGTCTGGAGACCACAGGTGAAACCTCTGGAGTGTGGGTCTGTACCATGCCCTCCTGAGCTACCCTCCCTGGATCCTACTGATTATCCATCCGTGTTGCACAAAAATGGCTACTTCCAGATCTATTTGTTTCTGCATCAGTGCATAGAAAACACATGACCCAAATAATCTGACCATAGAAACCTAAAAGTTGACATATACCAGTTGGTACAGTAGGGCTGAAAATTATCTTCCTTAGATGGGAGTTTTTTTACATTATTTAGCTTAGTTTAATATAGAGTCACCAGAAACAACTAGAAATTCTCCCAGGCAGCATACACCCATCAGAAATCGGCGGAGAAGACAGCCAGATGTCTAGTACGAATAGCATAAGAATACAGCAGAAAGAATACAAAGAATACAGAAAAAACACCCCATGGAGAAGCTGATGTCCCAAGTAAAAACCATGAAAAGTTTTTGAGCAGTGAGCATGTGGGGCCATCTGTTAATATTATGAAAAGCTAAAGTAAGGAAAAATATAAAGCAAAATAATTTAAAATACAAACTTTTGCTTTAAAAATAACCATGTTGAGAAGCATGGCAATTCTCTACAAATGAACCAGTGACCCATGGAGAAGTCTGGGGGGCTTTAAAATTGTATCTATGGTATACCAATCCCCACTGACAGCAGAATGCACTTTTGCATGCCATGTTTTAATCACAGGAATTAAAAAAAAAAAAAAAAAGAGCCTGGTGGGTGGACACCAACACTGTTCATAAAGAAACACCCACCTTGCCATATTTATTTTTAAAATTAGACCAATTATAATTTAAATGTTAATACTTTGCACACTGAACACAAAACCAGTGGGAACATTGTCAGTCAGGTAACATATTCAAACCTTTTGGTCATTGCTTTAGGTGACTGAATTCCACAATACAATTCCCTGTTTGCTTTATTAGCAAGATTGTGCTGCAAAATGGTACGTATTAGCACTCATTTATACACAGGGAATTTGGGCCTTGAGATGTGCAAAGTCAAATTCAGTAATTCTGTTTGTTTGGAAGAGGGTGAGCAGGCAAAACCTTTACCTCAGTAGAGCGCTAGCTTTTAAAAGCTCTGCCACTGTGCACTGTGAACGGCAATCAAGGCCATTTATAACTGTAATGGGAAAGGGATAATGGAAGATGCATTACAACAAGCAAGAGACATAGCTCAAACTACTCTTTAGGGCCTCTTACACACACGTCAGCTCAGCAGCAAACACTTGTTTTAAAACACGTAAGAGTGCCATGTATTATCTGAAAAATTACCTGAATAATGCTGAACCAGCTGCTGAAGAGTTTCAAATTGTGCCCGAGTTGTGATATAATATCCACCATTGTCAAGTTTACGAATCTTATAATGTTTGACATGATCTCCTTTCATATCATCCCAGTCACGAATAGACAGGGAATAGGCACCTGTTCCAAGGAAAGGCAAAATAAAATAATGTAAGTAGCTTTTAGACAGAAAGATTTTGGTTTGCTGGTCAGTTGTTATAAAGTGAAAGAGACATTGCTTCCAAAAAATGCTTACTGTACCTTGAAAAAGAACAAGGGAATCTAACACAATGAATTAAATATCACAGAAATCTTATGATGTTCACAGCATGCACCTTTCACACTTTTCTAGAAAGAAATCAGGACTTCTGTGTAAATGAAAAATCACATTTTAACATTTACTGCTTCAGGTTGTTAAATTGACTTTTCCTATTCTAAGTGTCAGGTTGCACTCCAAATTCTACACTTTAGGTAAATGCTAGTGAGTGGTAAATACCAAGATTTTAATAGGAAGCACTAGAGATAATGACGATATATGAGTAGTGTTGTTACTCAGAGGGATCCCAAACTTCTTTAGAAACATTATATAACCAAATCAGCATGCTTTGCACATCACAGTCTCTGGAAGGTGGTACTACACCAAGACTGCATACTGAGAGATTTGCAAGAACTGTATGTTTCACTCTCAAAATCCATGCTGGAGCTTTAGAACTTACTGGTGGGATTCAGATGCCCAAACACAGGGGTTAAGTGCCATGTGAGATGCCCCAGGGCATCCTGCTTGGCAGTTTTCCCATAGGCTGTCATGTTTGTCTGATCCCCGTGGACGCCCTGCAGGCATGGATGCTCATGGTCAGGTAAAGGAACCTCAGCTGAGGGACTGGATTTAGTTTTAGGTGTAGTGGTGGCTTGATTTAGATGGCCACACATAAGCTTCTGGTGCTACGAGGGTAGCTGAACGCCAGCCTAGTTTCCACAAGTAGTGTTATGGCACTGTAGATATTGATGGCGTAACACAGGTTTCAGCACTAGGTGTCTGCAGTCGTGGACGGCTGAACTGAACACCAGCTTCCCGCTGACTGTAAAGGGAGCTTGGCCAACTACATGGGGACCTGCACATTCAGGAATCTTCATCTGAAGCACAGTCCTCTTCTACATACAGTGACGCCTACACACTGGTTCCCTACAGTGTAAAAAGCAAGGCCACATTTTACAGAATAATGCAGTTTCTGAGCAAAAGCATGGCCATTTCAAAGGCAGTGGGGAAGACAAGACTTCACTTATGGCTCAGATGAATACTGTGTTTATTCAAAGGTAATTCAGACATTAGAAGGAAAAAAAAATGTAAGTAACTGACAGCTGCACAGATGTCAGGAAGGTCCTCCTTCTGGAGCCTGGGCTGCTTTCACTGGTAACAACATCAGCCAAAGGCATGAAAGGAAAATCAGCTGTAGACAATTTTAGAACACATGAAAGGTGGAGTGATTTCCTACAGGTCTGAGAGCAAACAGAACCGACTGCTACTTATCCCAAGTCAGGGTACTTTTCAACACACCCAGCAGGTTCACATCCTCCAGAACCACCTCTGGCTAAGTGAAATAGCTTAAAGAACCCCCCACAGCTAGGAGGTTGAGATTCCTGTCTTTTCTGGAATGTCTCCCCGACATGAAGTTTCCCCGATCATGTTAACCTGCAACAGGTCACACTGGCGGGTGGCTCACTGCTGAGGGAGCTGCAGTGAACAAAACGCCTCCACCCTGACTCCAAGGACCTCCCAAATTCCCTCTTGTTTGTCCTCTAAATAGCAGGAAAAGAGCCACACTTACACAGATGATTCTGGTTTATGTGAATGGGAGACACCCTGAGAGGAGCGTCAGGGTCTTTATTTCTAAGTGTAGGAAAATACAGTTTGTTTAGGATATTTTTTCTGAGGGGGTTCTCCCACTGAGTAAGGACATCTCTCTCAGCAAGGAATTCAAGGCTTGTTGGGGATTTGAAAGCACATCTTGCGCATGCTTTGTACCACCACTCTGGGCTGTACACTCTCAGCCTACTTTCCAGACAGTGTTCTCCACCTCCGCATTTTTGAGTTTTGATTCACTGGCAGCAGCTGTATTTTCTTTAGACACGCTCCCTGCCTATCTGGTCACTATTTTAGAGGCTTTAGGAAAATGTAAACAATCTGTGGCTCCAGGTCTGCAAGCAGAGCTGCGTGGGTGGCCCTCTGTGGACCCCCGCTGACCTCAGATCAAGTTGCAGGACTGGAGCTTTAGTTCAAATCTGGACAAAAACAAGAACAAAGATGGATTTCATTATTCTTTTATTTAGGCTGTTGGTTATTTATCCTATTCATTATTATCTGATGATAAATTCAAATATAAGATATATACATAATAAAAATTTGGATAGAAATACGACATTACAATATATCATACTAATGAATTTTTTTTTTAAAAAAAAACAAACCTAAAACCAGACAGCCTTGGAAGGTGGAGATTAAAACCAGGTGGAGGATTGTACAGACAAGACCTGATGAAGTACCTCGGTAGTCAGGCACTGAAAAAATGAAAAGCCAGCTCCATATGATTTATTTTGGAAGTAAGAGAAGACAACCATGATCAAGGGAGGTTAAATTCATGCTGAAGTCATCCATGATGATACTTTTAACATAATCCTGATTAATTTCATTATTGTTATTATTTAAAGCAGAAGGGACAATTCTAGGTCACAAAACAATTCCTCCCTCAAGCCCAAGATGACTAGCTGGTGTAAGGCATTTTGAGAAGACTTATGGGAGAATGTACCATTCAAGCCCTCCCAGATGACTTTTTTCTCTCTTGTGAACAAAAAGCTCCCTCCGTTTTCTTCTAACAACATACTGAAACACCAAAAAGATGAGAAGAGAAACAGGCATTTTTGACAAAAACCATGCATCTTTGGTTTTTTCCAGTGGCTTTGATGCAAACTTAGCCTGAAGATACAGAAAGCCTTAAGTTCAAATGCAGAGAAATTAAGCTTGCTGTTATAAGTCCATCCATGATGGATTACTCCATTTCCCCAATGCTTTTGTGTCTCACAAGAAGCTCTAGAAAAAAGCCCTGACTTAGCTAAGTAAACAGCCCTGCAAAACATATCCCTTATCACTGTATTAAAAAAATGGTCAAAACAAACTAAACTGACAATGTGGTTTAGAGAAACCACATTAATTGTTTTTAGGATCCATGGATGCCTCTATGAGTGAGTTTTTAAACTCAGCACAGAGTGGAATGAAGCCTTGCTCCATGCACACATCACAACAACTGTTAGTGAAAATGAACAGGTGGAGGCTATTTCGAGAAAAAGAGCAAGTTAGAGCCTGTCTTGCTGCTGGTAAGAATGCCTCACTGCTACATGAGGTATGGTGAAGTTGTTGGGGTGACAAGATAGGAAATTAGCTGTCTGAAACAACAGCATGTCTATTCAGATTTTGCATCTGAAACAGTCTTCAGAGTTATGGGCAGCGAAGGGAGAATCCAGTGACTGCAGGAGTCAAAAATGTAAAACTTATAATTTTAGATGACAGAATGCAGCATCTGAAGATATGTCAGGTAGAGAGGAGTGGGAAGCAGTGTTTCAGTTCTTTAAGCCCCTTTACCAGTCATGATTCCAACCACTTTGCCTGCTAACTCTGACAGAGTGCGCTCTGACCAAAGCACTGGCAAGCCTGGACTTTAATTACAGTAACCATCATTAGACTTCAGAACTTACATGGAATTAATTCTACTGACTTATGCTTCCCGCAGCTATTGTTTTGAATTGCTGGTTAATTGAGAAATGGATAGGTTTGTTTTCGCTTAGTTGCAGGTTTCTCCTCAATAGTTGTATGAGTTAAAGAGATCTTTTCATACATGTGAAGCTTTGAAGAAGATGTTGACAGGCCTCATGAACAAAACTTAAAAGCAAAGATAGCACACACCAAGAAAACTGGAACTCCTCCAATATTTTTAGAAGGAAGGAGGAGAATACATCCTTCCACTTGACTTAATCAGAATGGATACAGTTGAATACTTTACGAATATATTAATTATAAATATTTTCAAGTCTCTTCACTGTTAATTATGAATTTAAAACTGCTACATCTTTTTTTTTTTTTTTCCTTTCCTCAGAGATCCAGCATTTCAAGGGGAAAGGCCAAAAAAATCCCCTAATCATCCCAAAATAATAACCAGTACCTTCATCCCCCCCAAATCTTATCCAGGCAACAAGGTTCAAATATTCTGCTTGTTCAGAGTAAGCAGTAATTTTCACCAAACTAGACTGGAGATTCCCAGCATCTGTTCACAGTAAGCTAGCTGCCTGTGCCTGGAGCCGAATATGGACACCAGGAGGTCTGCCTCCTGTAGCCCCACAGTTGCTGTTCTGAGGGGCCACTCTCCACCCAACTCCTTTGCAATAGTAGTATCCTCAACACATGCACTGAGACAGTGCGATGTTCAGAGTGTGACAGCAGAGCAGAGCACCCTGCCTGTGCATGACTTGCACTGCAGATACCATGGGCTGAGCATGGCATGGGCTACATTTGGGTTGTTGTCTGCTTTGAACACTCATTCTAAGACCTGGAATGGCCAGACATCTAGTTCCCTAGCACACATATATGCAAGATGACACTTACCTCCACCTTCATACCATTGAAAACAGTATTTTACAAACTTGACACAATTTTTCTCAAATATCTTCTCATTTGTAATCAGAACAGCTTTGGCCAGCCTACCTTTGGTAGTTTCACTTTCCCGGATCAGGAAGGTACCTCTGGGGTTTCCAAATGACAACAGCTGCCTCTCAGCATCTTTTCGGCCAAGTTTGCCAAAGTACCACCTTAGGGAAACATCAGAAATAGTAAGACAAATGCTACATAGGATTACTAAGTAGCATCATGGAGCTCAGACATGGAGAATGATTTGTGGAAACTATGGTTACTCAAGTATATTCAACCATTTTTGTCATAGTGTGCTTTTATGGTGGTGGGAAGCTAATCTGACAAACTGTGTAGTAGATGTTGTATACATTGTGCCGTAGTACTTTGCATTAAGCCTATAATCAGCAGATGCTGAGAATGCTTGTTTGGTGTCTTGTCACAAAGGCCAGACTTTGATAAGCACAGAGTAAGACTTGGTGGGGGGAAGGAATGGACAAGGAAAAGGGCAGAAAAATTCACTGCTGTCAAAGAGCAGTATTTTTACAGATGTTGCTATAAACTACATATTTGACTTACACAGTGATGCATCAGTATTCAATATTTTTGTTGCAGTACAGCTATAAAACCTCAGCAGAAGGATCAGAGGCAGCCACTTTACTGCAGTTGTATAAGGCTTTCAGAGTTTTGGGCCCTTTTACTTCCTACAGCATTTTTTTTTTGGTTTCACAATCAGCCAAGTACAACTTGAAGTACAGACTATAGTAGTACCTGGTCAGCTATATAAGCTCCTCCAGTGTATATTTTATACTGGAAAACATATGGATACACATAGCACTCAGTTTTTTGCACAGATATGTCCTCATTATGCTGCCTGCTATATGTGTTGCAGGCATCCTACCTATGGGTAGGTATTTGTTGATACAACGTGCCATTTTTAATAGACAGTTTGCACACTAATTGACTATAAGTATTTTTACAAGTTGCTTCAGGAAAAGCAAGGGCACCTTTCGCTTAAAGCCTGAAATTAGTCAACAGTAAAATAAAGTAAGCAGAACTATGTTCCTTTAGGTTTCCTTCCTTTGTTTTGACACTGAAAAAGCACAGAGCTTATGCTTCTTTTGTTGCTAATTACCTATTTATTTATCAGTGCAGTTAAGAACTGAAATGAAAATAATGTAAGTAATTTGAAAAATTGCTACAATTAATCAAAACCAACTCCTCAAACCTCCTTCAAATACAGCCCTAATGGGTTTTTACAATGAAAATAAAACATACTCCTCTGCTTGGATGGAATCGACTGGAGCCACATAATTACTGGGAATGTAACCAGTTTCGCCTGTTGTCAGGGACCGGGCCTCCCACCAGTCTCCTTCCCTGCAGAAACAGAGGTAAGGAGAAGTGAGAGCAAGACACAGCTGTAAAGACAACGATCTGACTTTGCTAACAGCACCCGCAGCTGCATGGCATGAGAATCCACAGCAACTCACCATTTTATCACCAGTGTGCTTCTGAGAGAGCTGTTTGCATCTAAACCCAAATAATATACGTATTTCTTTACACCTATTATTCTTTCAGCAGCGATTAGTAATGCTTCAAAACTTAGCAATAATACTTCAAAACATAGTACTATGACATAAACAGGCACAACAACCCAGTGAAATCAGGTTTGGTGAGGGCTGGATTTGGACTAGAATATTGAAAACTGTCTTCCTAGCAATTATTCTAATACAGACCCTTGAGAGAGCTTACAGGAAAACTGCTAAACTGAACACTGTTACATCCAATGCTAATTTTAAACTTCTATGGGGATAATTAATCTGAAACCCTAATGCATCGAGAAGCCACCTATCAACATGGAGTTGACAGTTTTAGATAGCCCTTAAGGATCACACTTCATTGTCTACATTCCCTCTCTTGGTCACCTAGAGGAGGTATCTGAAGTAGCAAAGGACTTACCTGCATTTTCACATACTTGCACAAACCATTATTCTACAACATTTAAATATGAAGAGGTCCATGCAGGACCATCTTCAGTGTTCCACAGGCTTAACATCAATTTTTGTCATACACTGGTGCACACAGTGGGATATGTTTCTGCCCTTCAGATAAGAGAAGTGTATTTCTCAGTGGTTTACAGGATGCAACTGTTTGGGATTTAGCATTTCGTATTTCATTCTTGGCACCAGAAGATTCACTGATGTTTAACTCCTATCGCTACTAATAAGCATTCTCTTTTCTATTTCTGGACTGCTTAGAAACTCATTCTCAGTTCCCCTCTCTGTAAAACAGAGATTTGTTCAGTAAATACTATTTTCAAATGTGGCCAGAGAATCCAGCCTCTTTTGTAAGCAAGCTGTTACAGAAAACACACTGTCTAAGCTATTACTGGCAGGAAAGGTTGTGTCAACGTGAGCTCTTACTTTAAATTTTCAACTCCACTTTCTTTAACAGTTTGAAGGAGTACTAACTCTATGGCAAACAACTAGAAACCAGCTGTGATTAGTCAAAAAGGAGACGTTTCCAATTCTACAGTTCAAAAAAGTGAAGAAGTAGCTTTTCTAGAGGCTGGCAGCTGACACTATTTTAATACACCTTGTGTGCTTTAGTATGTCAGGCAAACAGCCCTATCTGTTTACATCCCTAACTTTACCAGCTGAAGTGCTAACCCTTCCCCCATATGTTGCTGCAGAACATTTCTGAGAGATTATGCCATACTGTCATTGATAAATTGTACCATTACATTTCTTCTCCTTACTGAACAGAGAGTCCACTAGATGGAGGTATTTTATCATATCTAATCTAGGGAGGGAAAAAGCAGTCCAGTAGATGATCACATCAGGAACAACCCCCTCTGTTTTGACAGAAAAGCTTAAATCTCTCAAAGCACTGCCAGAAAGGAGGAGGAATGCAGACTTTTTTCACAGCTCTTAATTTTAGACGCCCGACTGAGGTAGGAGGAGGCTAGCCAGGGTGTGTAGCAGGAGTGGCAGTGGGGATGCTGGGGATGGCTGGGTGCTTCTGAGCCCGAAGCCAGGCTCTGCTCTGAATCACCCTGCTTTTCCCCATACTGCACTGCTCTTGGTATCATTTCTGACTTTAAATTGCACGGATAACCCTCTATACGCCATTTCAGGTATTGCTGTCCTGAACTTTGAATCCAAAGCACAAATCAAATTTCATTTGTTGAGAGTTTAAAAAAATATCCAAACCCCTCCAAAAATTCCACACAAATTACTTTTGTTCATGTATATGCTTTCTGGTTGCAAGCAGCATTGTCAGACTCTTAAAAAAATGGGTTTATTTCATATTATTTCTGATATAAATGAAGAGAGGATGTGTTCCCACAGAAAAGCTGTTTACTGGAGATTCCCAACCTGGCTGTCAGTACTCCAGGAGTGTGGTTAGGTCCATGCTTATAAGCAGACAGAGCTGACTATGATGGGAACTGAGCTTCTATAATCCTACAAGAAAATCAGCAGATGCTTGGTTTTTTTCTCTTAGAAAATCTTCCTCCAGGCAGTAATTACCTGCCTGTACTGCAACTGCTCACACATGGGGGAATCTCTCTCTCCCACCAACTCCAAGTATGATTGCTCTGCAAGTCCCAGGGAGTACCCCTTGACTTCATCAACTCTCACATGTAAGGAATTTATAATGCATGGAATTTCTTTTTGTTTCTTTTTGTTATTGTATAGTTTGCGCAAGCTTGGGAAAGCAGCTGGCAATGTGGACAAAAATGGATGACAGGTTAAAGAAGGGGTTTTTTCCAAGTGCTAATTTAGAAGTAGAGAGGTTTTAAAACTGCTGCTCCCTCTACAAGTTGTAACTGAAATTTCTGTGCTTTCATCTACATCAAAGCTCTTCAGCTTCATGGCTTCATGAAATATTCCACAGAATTACCTGATTTTTTTTTTTTTTTTTTTTTTTTTTTTTTTTACTTTAATGCACATTGAGCTAACTCCAACCCTGGAGTTGTTCTGTTAAAATTAACTGGAGTTGCACCAGAGATGAATTTACCTCACTATCACACAGTGTAAGAAGAAAAAAAAAGAAGAGAGCAATATCATAAAGTCTCTAGAAAGCTACATACTTGGTTGTTAACCCGTTTTTACCTCTACATGAAAGCAATAACGAACATAACACAGAGCCTTCAACTTTATGTTCTTAGCCAAGAATTACAAGATGTTCAGATATAGGTCAGTAGCACAGTAAGTTTTAGATGTTATTTTTAAATTACTAAGGGATTTATTTCTATGAGCAGTTAATAAAATTAATTTTAAGTTGATGATTTCCAGGATGGAAGTGTGTTTTTCATGCCAAATGCAATTGTACAATGGTACATTGTACAATAATATTCTCACTTAACAGAACTTCCTAGCATGTTCTGACTGTGTCACCTACTTTTAAAAGGAAAAAAAAAATGCTTTTAAACTTATGTTGGCACGCAAGCCTGGGTAATGTCTCTTTTGTGAATCAGTTTTTAGCTTGCTTCTGTGTAGAGGTACTTGCAGCAGATTGCAAAAGGTGTTAGTACATGCCTTGCAGAACTGTGACTACTGGCAAGTACAGAGCTGGTGCTCTCAGTTCTGAATGTGAATTTTCTGTGAAATGCAGTGAATCACGCAATCTAACACTTACTTTTGAAGTAAAGCTGCATGTGGTTGAAGGGGTTTTATTTTCCAATAATAAAGGACTTTATAAAAGTGCATAAAATGCAGACAAGTAAGTAAGCATAGAGTAAACTGCTACATATCTTGAATATCCAACATTAGATCTTACTAATAAAATAAGCAAACATAATTGTCACCATTATAAGTTTACAAATAGTAAAAAACATATTCCCAAGCCTAAAACTTACGAGCTGTTAAGTATTTGAAATTTTTCTCCTTTGTGAAAACTTAAGTCATCTTCTGTTCTTGCTTCATAGTCATAAAGTGCCACAAAGAGAGTTACACCTAAAGAAGAAGATAGGTGAGTTACACTCCATCACGAAAAACAGGAGGGAAGGAAGCCTCAAGAGATCAGGTGGCTGAGCCAAATGTACACTACTCTGGTTGCTGAGGAGCAAAATAAACTGAAGCCTCCTACTTTTTGGTCAACAACTATAATCCCCGTGCTTTTACGCAGTCAGTGAGCACACCACCTCCTTCACTTTGTGCAGTCATCAGTCCTCTTGTTTTGGTACCCACACACAGTGGAGGATCCCAAGTGGGCAAAGGGGGTTTGAAGAGAGGGTTTAGACACGGCCATGCCAAATATTTCCTGTTAACTACTTGAGGTGGCTCAGACCACATTTTCCATTCCCTGGTGGAGGGATGAGGCAGTCAGTCAGTCGAATTGGGCATGTATACATAATTTCTCAACCCTCAAGTGAACTGGCACCTACAATTTAGCAAAGGGAGGGCTGAAGACCCAGCTCCACCCCTACTTCAATTCGTTGCATGATTTTGTGAAATAACTCTTCCAAAAGTGGCATGTTGAGACAGCCATGCTCTTGCTCTAACTATGTGAATGATGCTTACTAAGAGCACTGAAATAATTCTTGGAAACTCACCTGTTCCTCCTCTTGTACGCAGCGTCCCTGTATGAGAGGAGGAATTGACTCCACCAAATACAGTCAGTCCTTGGCCTCCTGTGGCATGGAAGTTGTTGTAGTTTGGGATTGAAGTCACACCAAAGCTAGGATAGTGCTGCGGAGTGGGATCTGTTCCATAGCGGTAGCCTGAGCTTTGAGTTAAACTGCCATCCCTCTCATCAGTCAGTTTTGTTGCTTCTTTATCCTTACATTGCACACAGCCCATTATCTAAAATCCTAGAAGAGGAAGGAAAGGACAGGTATTCATACATTGATGCTCACCAGATCTCCCTCAAACCCACATATGAGAGAAGCATAGAATGGTCTGGGTTGGAAGGGACCTTACAGATCACCTAGTTCCATCCCCCCTGCCATGGGCTGGGATACCGTATGATGAGGATTAAATTAAGCTCATACTCCTTAAGTGCTTTGAAAAAAACCCACAGTGGTTTGAATACAAACAGCAACAGGTTAGGAAAAGCTCACACAAAATCTTCCTTGCAGTGGTTTCGCATCGGGGCCTGGGGAAGGAGGTCCTGCCTGCCCTTGCCGTGGCGGCAGCCCCCTGCCCAGCCCTGCTGGGCAATTGCTTGCATGGAGGCGGTAAGAGCTTCCCCTCTTGCTCACCCTCTGCCATGGGAGCACAACTGGCAGGCAAAGGCCACAACCAAAACGTGCAGCTGGAGGTGTCCAAGTCTCCCCTCAAAACACAGAGCGAGGCGCTTAGCTCACGGTTCATGTCTGACCTTGCCAACTACACAAGAGCTGACTTCACCTAAAGGCACTACAACTCCTTCCATTGCTGGAGCTCTGCGTGACAGCAGAAGAGCACATACAATGAGCTGATAGTTATTACAGCACAGGAAAGTAGGAGGGAGCTCATCAGACGGCACAACAAAAACAGAAGGAAGTGCCCTTTTATGCAGTACCGAACTGAAGTGTGAAACCTGCCAGTTGTGGGTGGTGGGGTAGCCAAAGGTATATGCACGAGTTAAGAAACCAGAGAAAGTCACAGAGGAATTAACATGTCAAATGCAGAGTGTCTCCAAGTCTGGATCCTGGATAGGAGGAAACGGAGAGGGTATGGCTTGGAAAAGGTTGCCCTAAGTTTTTAATTCTTGTAACCTCTTGTTTAGCACCCTCCTTGGGCCCTACCAGGGCCTGGGTTAATCTCTCTCAATTTTAGGTGCCAACCCCTCTCTAGGTGGAGGGTGTCAGAGGGTACTGGGCCACATCTTAGAAGCAGCCCTCCAAGGTTAGTCCTGCTACCTAGTATTGTTTTTCATCTGTCAGCTCTAACATCTTACAATCCATGTGCTGGTGTTACCAAACTCTTTCTTGCAGACTCGAGCTGAATCTAGACACAAACCCCTGGTTTCTGAAGCAGGGCATGATGAATCTAGAGAATCAGATACTCGTCTGGATGCACCCTTGATCTGAACCGGTACGGTGACTCTCACACGTAACCTGGCACACAAACAACATACTCTAAACACTGTGACTACAAGAAGAGCAGTGACAACAGAAAAATATTTGAAAAAATTAGAATTACTGGGCATACTTTGCCCAGAACATACAAATAGACAGGGAGGAAATGCATAAAACATGAAAAAAAAAGCATAATGAAGAACTTTTTTTTTTTTTCCATATTTCTTTTCACATCTCAGCCAATATCTGTCACTTAGAGTAAATAAAAAGCCTATCCTTTTTCAAATATCCTCATTTTTCTGTAGCTGCCAGACTGGCTATTTTTTATGCCTTACCCCAACATCAACACAGGAAATTGGTTTTGACAAACTCATGGGATTCAGAAAAAGCATATTCCTTTGCTGCTAATGCTTGAAAAATTATGCAGTAGCTCCCTGCTTGTCTGTGACCATCCACAGTCTGGATACCTGCTTCCTAAATCTAACCTGCCTAATTTAAAATAATCCTTCTGTTGAAGGGTATTTTCTACAATTTGAAGATACTTCCAGTTATACTACAAGCCTGTTCAGAAAAACAATTTCCCCTAGCCATATTGCCTGCAGTAAGCACAGGTCTTACCATCTCTTGGTTCTTGGCTTAACTTAAAGGTGTCCTTTTTGCGTTTCTCTGTTTCCTTCAAGACACCACATCCACTCAGGAGAGTTCCCTCACCAAACCCTTTAAATCTCTTCACATGAACAGAAACAGCCTGGAGGCTGCAAAACATGCTGCAGCTGGCAATGAGGCTGCAGCAGCAGCTGTGCTGGCCTCCAGCCTTTGCTTGGTTGGTGCTGGAGTTGCAGAGTATCATGCTGGGGCTTGAGGTTGTTCATCCCCAGGACCGGCAGCGACTCCAGGTGAGCTGCAGGGACTGCGACGGGCACAGAGGTGCCCTGGTCGGCTTTGTACCAGCAGTAAAAAACTATGCAGATATCTCTGCTGCTTTTACCTGTTTCAACAGCAGGATGGTCTGGTTCTGGAGCCCCTCTGTTTGGAGATTTCACTCAGAGGTGACGTTTTCCCAGCTCCTGTCAGAGCCAGGGAGCCCCACAGCAATGCCAGGGAGTGAAGCAGGACCACAGGGAGGGCGAGGACCCTGCGGAGCAATGGCTCATCTCCTGCTATCAGCACAGCAGAGCCCAGGGGGGCTTTGGGTGGTGGGGATGACTCTGGGACTGACTGCTTGGACCCTGCTATGCTTCTGTGAAGGTGTGCCTCCGGTGCGTGGGGAGCAAAACACGGGCAGTGAGCAAACACTGCACGGGAGACACCAGAAGGGAAATCCCGCCTCAAGAAAAAGGGTAGAGAGAGGCATCAACTGCCTGAACAGGGAGGAGTGAGGCATTAGGGCAGACTGGTTAAATGTGCGAATGCTGCAATGTACACTTATTCACCTCAGAAAAGTTAAGTGATATGCAGGCTTTACTATTTAAAGAATCTCAGCAGCCTTTTTGTTGGCTTGCAACCTTACCTCCCCCTGAAACTCTATTGCCTCCTCCCTTTCCCCTCCCAGCTCTGTCTCCCTTCTTATTTTTTTCCCACGTGTTTTCATGGAAAAAATCAGAAAAGAAAATGAAAGAATGAAAGAAAAAAAGAGATGGGAAACATGAAATCTGTGAGACCAGTGGGGGGAAAGGGGTTTTCTTGTTGCTTATTCACAAACGTTCAGCTGAGCAGGGAAAAAATCTCCAGTGAAATCTGGGAAGATTTCACATACCAATTTACAAGTGCTGACAAGACAGCTCTACATACTTCATTTACACATTAATGAGGGAAAAGTTAAAACTACAAATCAGCTGCAAAAATAAAATTGCTCAAAACATTAATTCAGAAAAGATGGAATTAACTAGGAGATGGTATACGTATGTCCTGGTAGTTTCAGAAAAATAATGGTTAGGGGTTTTCTCTTTACTAGGAATGATATGAATAGAAAACCAGTGAATTATCAGTTTCTTGATTTTTTGTTTGGTTTTTGCTCCCTTTATCTTTTTGCTGGCAATGAGAGTGCACAGGCAAGGAGAGTTTGATGCAAAGTGAATGACTGACAAAAAGGGCTTTTTCTTTCACTTGCCCTTTCCCACTTCATCACAGTGTCTAGACAATCCCAGTATAAAGACTGCTTGATTGTAGCCTCTTGTAAAATGTGACCGGGGGTGTTACATGCACGCATCTTTTCAAGCCAAGTCCCTGAAAGTTGTCTCTTCCTGGCTCAAAGAAACCGACATCATGGGGAGTTGGCTAAATGTGAAAGAATACATGTATGCATGTAAAGTTATTAAAGTTATTTCAGCTAACTCAGGGGTTTCATAGACAATAAATACAACCTCCATTCACAGCATAAGCCTTCGTGTCAATGAATGGATTCCAAAACCTAATCTCCTTCAGTATCACAGAGCAGGCTTTTAATATCCAAAAGTCTCATCTCCCTGTATGTCAGCGTTTGGAGCTGTGGAAGGCTGGAGTTATTCAGCCAGCTCTGAGATCACCAAACAAAATCTGGAGCTGTTTTATACCAAATTCTCTTGAGACGAGCATGCAACGTTTTTCATCCAACGTGCTGCGCAACTTACAGTAAAGGAACAAGATTTTATTCCATTTCCATTAGGAAAGGCAGCATTTCTCAGATGTGTGAGCTATGGGTCATGCAGCATTATTATAATTTGACACTGGTATTGCTAAAATGTATGTAACTAACCTAATTAAAATCAACTTTTCTAAAGGAAGCAAGTTGAATTTATTTATTTTAAAGATGTGTTTTTATGGGCAACATAAAACATGTGTTTTCATGAAAACATAAGACATGGTTTTTGAGACTTCCTTAGAGACAAATGAAAATAACCATTATGTTATTTGTCTTCTTTCTTGTCCTTGTTATATTTCTTGGACTCCAACATTTATGATGCAAGCGATCCAACATCAGCCTAACCAGAATAGTAGTTTCCTCCCACATGGTAGAAACACCATTCAATGAAGACACAAAATTAATTATATCATTATTAATTATTTATATAATCATAGCACCTTAATTACTTTTAGTTAGGAAACAGATGAAGGCTAAGAAGATGTTATTAACACTGTTATTATTATCGTAAATCACCCTCCTTCAGTTTTTCTAGTGGGTTGTTCTCAATACAAAATGGAAGCCAAGACTGAAATACCTGCCAAAGCCAGACATCCACTCCATTAATAGAAACAAAAGCAGTCCTCTGCAAAAAAAGTATTGATAAGCCTTAGTCTAGCTTCTGCTGTTGTAAACCATCAGGAGAAGATGGATGGGAAGAAGTCTGGTGTAAATTCACTCCTTCAGAGGATCAGTTGTTTTTCCATAAGATTTTGCAACTCACAGCTGGAACTCTGAATTACAGTATCTCTTCAGAACCTGTTTTTTTTGAGTGTTGTAGAAGAAAGTGGATCCTTAAAAAGTTTGAGGGAGGGATACAGGGAGATGCAGGGAGACACCCATCTATTCTGCACCCTGCTATCCATGCCATGGCCTCTGTCCTTCAACCCCTTGTGCAGGAAAGGAGACCACCACAGGAGAGGGCTCCAACCTGCTGAAGAGATGGGGAGTGAGTTCAGACCCAGCAGGCTACATTCTCCTTCCTCTCCATGGTTTTCTTTGGAATTAAATTTGACAGTATATTTTTAGGAGAACTTCCTTCAGTGAAAAACATAAAAGGTTGGTAACTGTCAACTGCCTTTTTCTGACCAAGTCTATAAATCTTGTCTGGAAAGCACCAGCAGGAGAGATGAGTTAAGAAACAGTTATG